TCGATTCTAGTTGCGTTCGACAATGATGAGTGGTATCTTCAATTATATTCATTGTCCTCAATTCTGCAAATAATTAGCATTCAGTAATATATTTTTATGAAAACTGAATATATTTTTTAAAAGATCTCATATTTTATATAAATACAATGACTAATATGCAAGTACATTAAATATTCTACACACACATTAAAAAAAAAGTTTATTCATTATATCTTTTGTAATTATTTTACAATCTAATACTAATTATTCAAAACTGAGATATAAATATTAGTCATTAATTTAATTCTCAGATATGATTTTTTTATTAATATTACTACAATAATATTCTTAAAAATAATAAATAATTATATATAATTAATGTTAGATATTATTAATTATATTGAAATTAATTCTTTTAATTTATTCCTAATTTAGAAATAGTATTGTAATAAATAAATATGGATATATATATATTTGATAACGAAAGAATGAGAACTATCTAAAAAAGAATATTTTGCTTACAAGATCAGACTCAAATCAATGAGCTTAAATCTAAAACTATCAGCTTTAGGTTGTTATTCTCGTTTCTAATAACAATTCTTTCTAATTTGATAATAAATCTGAATAGAAAAATGTGTCTCTATTGTGTGATATAATAGTTGCTTTCCATTTACATCAAAATACAGATAATTCTCACTTGCGTTCTCTCTCACTCGCATGTATGCTACGTGCGAGTGAGAGAGAACGCAAGTGAGAATTATCTGAGTTTTGATGTAAATGGAAAGCAACTAATATAAATATTGAAGAAAATTTCACACAGCAGTTCTCAGTTACAAACTTTTCTACAACGTTATTCGCATTTCTCTATCTTCTTTGTTAAATTTTCTTACTATGTGTACAGATCATAGACAAATAAAATACATTAGACGAGCCCCTATCCTTAAGCCCGTATCAAACTACGCATTGAAAATTGAAGATTAAAAATTGAAATTTGACTGATCAGAATAAAAGAAACTGAAATTTCTTTGTCCTGATTGGTTAAGTGCCAGTCTACAATAGGTGATGTAAGCCCTAAGCTTTAAGAAATTGACCAATCACAATCAAGTATGAGGAGAATACTCGACTGTGATTAGTCAATTTCTTAAGGCTTAGGGCTTAAATCACCTATTGTAGGCACTTAAGCACAATCTTAAGGCACCTTTACATGGCAGCGTTAAGCGTCTGCGCAGAAAATTGCGCAGAATCTAATTTCAGCCTAGAATCTATCTCTTTTAAATTCTGCGCTTATGAATACCGGCCTAAAATTTCTTTGTCCTGATTGATTAATCGAACTCTACTCCAAGAAATAAATTTTGGAACGCAACTCTGGATGCATCCGTAGGGCTGCGTTCGGAAACATCACCCGTGTGCGCACGAGTATCGTTCTATCTTTGTTTAACTTTTAGTAAATAACAAAGATAGAACGACGCTCGTGTGCACACGGGTGATGTTCTCGACGCGTCCCAGCTATGCCAATTTGTGTAGGCTTAAAGCCCGTATCAGACTACGTATTGAAGATTGAAATTTGACAAATCAGGATAAAAGGAACTAAAATTTNNNTGCGCAGAATCTAATTTCAGCCTAGAATCTATCTCTTTTAAATTCTGCGCATTTTTTTGCGCGGACGCTCGACGCTTAATGCTGCCATGTAATGGCACCTTTAAAGGTAACATTTCATGGGCAGTAAAAAGCAGCAGCAGGTTAGTAACTAACTAGCATTGTTTGGTGATTTTACAGAATTCCTGCGTTGTCCATGAAATAGGTTTTTTGCATATCTATTTATGTATGTATCTATTATTACTAATTATTATCTATCTATTATTAGCTTACCGCATTCGAGGCGCAAGGCGCAAAAAGGAACTCTTCTATCGATATTAACGACATGTCCGTCTATATTAATTCATACGTCTATGGGCGCAGCGCGCCGCGCGTTCGCATCGTTTGCGTTTGCCACAGCCGGGCTTGCGAAGCGCGAAATCGGAATAACGAGGGTGCGCGATCGAGAAAACTCGTGTCTTCGTTTTTCGCCGTCGTCGGTGAATTTTCTCCGGCGAGTCGCGATCACCAACTGTTTGAAGAGGATGGCGAAACAATTCTGAGAGGAGAGTGGTACCCGTCGTTCAACGGTTCGTCTCTCCGCCGTTGATCTCTCGCGTGACGCTTCTGCTTCGAAATCCGGTGCGCGATACGAGATACACGTTCGTCGATAGACATTCGTGCACTCGCGCGCACACCATACGCACGCACTTACGCACTTATTCTCGTAGTGTGCTTCGGTGCTCGTTCATTCGCTTAGCACTCCCGCTCGCGGCAGAGAATGACATATCGCGACGCGCGGATGACGCGCGACGTTCACGCACGCACCGGGAGGAGGAGCGTCGTCGAGACGGAGCCAAGTGATTACGACGGTTGAAAGGGAAAAGATCCGGAAGATCGTCAAAGGACGATCTGCCGATCGTGTTCAGCCGGACAATGGCAATCTCGAGCTGGATGATATGGGGTAGAAGTCTACGCACCGGCCGATCTCATCGAAGTGCGTGCATGTCATTTATAATTTAAGAATCTCGCGCGAAATGTTTGAAAGCGAATCGCACTTCACGTCTTCTCTTCTCGCGTCTCTTTTTGATTACAGGCCGCCAAGATAGCGAGGACAATTGCATACAGCTCGATCTGTCAAGAGGTTAGTAACCTAACCTGCTACAGGACATCGTGCCCTCCCTCCTTCTCTTCTCCTCCTCTTCCTTTTCCTCGTCCTCGTCCTCTTCGGCGCTATCGACGACGTTATAGTCTGTTTCGCACTTGTTCGCACTTCCGTATATTTGTTTACCTTACGCCTGGCGGGCGCAATATTGCGCAACTTTTGCCTCCCGTCTCGTCAACGATCGGTTTGCCGGATATTTCAACGACGAGAAATATGTAGATATTTTTCAACGATATCGAATGATACTGATCTGTTGCCATTCGAGAGTTTGAAAGGTATCTTTATACAGCTTGATCTAAAATGTGAGGGATGGTCAAAGTATTTAAGGATATACAGTAAATTCTCTATTGCAGATTTTCTTTAGATCAATCTGTATGTAAAAGAGAGAGTATCCTTCAATGACATTATCTCAATTATTATTCTTTTCTCACCTGTAATTTATATATATATATATATATTTTGGTTATCCCTTTTTATTATAAAATTTTTATGAATAGTCAGAGGAATAATTAATTTACTTTGTAGGATTGAAGGAGAATGTCAAGGAAGTCTTAACTAATCTTTGCCAGCGTCACAATGTTCCAAGCGCAAAGAAGCTAGCATATCTTAATGCTATTGTTAAGTTGATTAGCGAAAGCGATTCCCAGGATTATGGATACACTGCAGAAGATTTGTTTTGTTGGTATGATTTGCTAGCACTTAAATATCTATTATATCTAATAACTAAATACTGATGAAAAAGGAGAGAATGCTGGTTAAGATTGTTTTATAAATTATAAAACTGTTTTCACTCTTTTAGCTTGCGTGTGGCTCTGGTCCATGAAGCAACGCAGGTGCGCGCCGCCGCGCTACGGGCGGTGCGTTACATGCTCAAGAAGGAACAAGATGTCATCGCGATCAACAGGCTGCAATATCCGTATTTCGTGGCGCGTAGCATGGATGTTAATCTTCGCAACGAAATGGAAAGGATACAGGCTCTTCGACTCGTTAGGAGAATCCTGGTATTAGCCCCAAAGCATTTCAGTCCCGCTTTAGCGAGATCTTTAATTAGTTTGACCAACAGTGGCATAGAGGAGAGGGACCGTGCATTTAGAGCGTTTCTAGCAACTCTGTGCGAGTTAGGTGTCCTGAACTCGAATCTACTGATAAGCTGCGGCGGCGTCGGCGCACTGGCAAGGGCCGCGATGACCGGTCAAAGCGCTGCGGCGGTCGAATCCATCGTTGGAGTGTTGCTGCGCTTGTTGAACAACCCCGACACACGCAGCAGTGTTTCTCTTTTATGCTTTGCCGCACCCTACTGTGAGCTTCACTCCTCGAGCATGGAGAGAACCAAGGAGGAACGCGAACAAAGGTTTGCCGCGAGCAAACTGGCTCTATTAAGCATTCTTCGCTCGTACTCGGGCGTCCTTCATTTCTGCCGACCGGACAATAATTCGGGTCTCAAGGCCATTGCAGATATCTTGTATGTGGAACAATTGGAAGTGCGCGGCGCTGTGCTGGAATTACTTTACCAGCTGTTAGACCTGCCACTGCCCACGTGGACCGACGAGCCCGATGTCGCGTTGGCTGCAGTGGATCCCAGCAGATCGCGAGACTCGTGGAAACTATCCGAAGGTTTTGTCGCCGCCGAGGGAAAGTTTATACTGCCATCCCTATCGTCACATTGTCCCAACATCACAGAAATACACTCAGCGTTGTTAGTGTACGTTCTTCTGGATTGCGGTCTCCATCGAGCTCTTGCGGAGACCATCGTCTCCAGCGACACGTTTATCTCGGTGCGCGCGGCGGTTCTTCTGGGAGCATTGCTACATCTAGCTCATTCGCTTCTACCGTCCGAGCTTTGCGACCTTACGCCGCCGCTGCCGAATCTATTGGAGCATGCTAGCGCCGGCAAGCATCAGGCATTAGCGGCGATCACAATCCTCGAGCGAATGCACACCATGATGCGACGCAGACCTACCCCGGCGAGTCTCTTCCTCGATCGGATTCTTCAGGCCGGCACCTGGTTACGTCCGACTCTGCCACGACGTCAACGACCGTCCGGTAGGCACTGGTTGCGAATCGGTCGTGAATCACCGATCACGCCGTTGCTGAAGGATGCGCAAGTACTCAGTTCGAAAGACGCTCTCGCCTGGAATTGGCCGATAGTACGGGCGATTCTGCGATCGCGCGAAGATGCGACGCGGATCCTGCACGATTCCGATCATCGATTGTTTATGAAGCGGCTTGTGCGTTACTTCAGACCATCGTGGAACGGTTATAGTAGAGTCGAGCTGAGCACAAATGCGACGTTGGCGCGCGAAGCAACTCTCGCCGGCTGTGATTTGTTGAATTGCTTGTTGGAACTACACGAACCGGAGGGCGCGCGATTGCTCAATGAGCTGATCGGCGACGTCGCCGAACAGATCAGTAACATTCGCACCGCCGAATCCGCGCATGATTGCCTGTTCTCGCCACGTCACATGTCTACTACGTGCTGTCAGAAATATTTCCTTTTCCTCGGCCAGTTAAGCTACTCGGCCAAGGGAACAGTGGTTCTCAAGAGCTTCAATCTGTTGGAAAAACTGCAAGATCTCGCGCTAGCCACTAATCACGACTGCTATGTCAAACTAATCGTCTCCAGTCTGGATTATTCCCGAGACGGTCCCAACAGGAAGCTGTTAAGCAAGATTATCTCCGAGGCGACTTTGTGGAGTACACGTTTATACGCTACGCAATTCTTACGATTAATACTCCGCGCGAGAATGACTGACGCAGTGCGCTGGGCAATGTCGTTGTTGGCTGATCGACTGTTTGATACCACCACAGCTGTGGCGTTAGCTGCGTTGGAAACGTTACATGAGGCCTGCAACGAGACCGAGTACTTGGAAGTGCTATTGCAGCAAGTCGGACAGTCGTGCGATTGCGACAAATGGCCGCAACATTTGGGTGACAAGGGCTACCTGCTGAAGATCCGGCTTTACTCTCTTCAGCAGGGTTTTGCGAATCTTGCCGCGCCATCGGAGGAACTGGAGAAGTGGATTGGACCCGGCGGTTTTGCCGAGCGATATGTGGGCCTCGTGGAAGGCGAGATACACGATGCGTTAACGCGTCGTCAACGCGACGAGACCGGGAGCTATCAAAGAAGGACCAGTAACGTGGCGATGGTACCGCATGACATTTTCGTGCCACCGCATCTGATCGGCCAGCTGGCGCAGCACGATCTCGGGATGCAATTATTGTTACGTCGCAATGTAATACAACGTTTTGCCCGATTACCGCAGCGATTCTGGCTGGAGTTTGGTGGTCGTGATTCAGAATCGAACTCACGATGTGCCAGAACGAGTCGTCTGCCCATTGGCGTCACTACTACGACCATCACTGCCGGCATTGCCGACGACGTCGGTATCGTATCAGAGGAATCTGGTACGGATGAAGCCGTGGAGCAATGCGGCCGCCTCGAGACGATTCTCGATTCCGAGACATTGGAAAGTGAGTTGACTCACGATACGACGAGCCAACCTCGGACCGAGTCACTAATGGAGATCCGTCGTAAAACTAGCGTGGACGATTCCAGACACACCACTCCGGAGCGAAGCTGGAGGATGGAGACTGTCGAGTTATCGCGTGACGATCACTCTATAACCGGTCCGAACGGCGGCATTCTCAAAGTCAAATCGGCTCTGTGGGCTCTTGGCCACGCGGGCACATCCGTCGCTGGTGTCGAACACCTCAATCACCTGGGTATTATAGAGATGATCGCATCCATGGCGGAGACGTGCCCGTATTATTCGGTACGCGCCACCGCCATGTACGCTCTCAGTTTAATCGGTACCACACGCGCCGGCGCCGACGCGCTGGCAAATTTCAACTGGCCGTGTGTCAGGCACCGACGCGGCGACAATTGGCCTGTGGTGCCACCCTCGACCAGGTATCCGGTACCAAGCCCGATCCCCGTGCAGCGACATCATCGCAGCCTTAGCGACGGTAAGCCGGAACTGCCTGAACCCCTCGTGCGCCGAACCAGGAATCGATCCGAGAGCGCGGCCACGGATCTCGAGGCACGGCGATACATTCTTCCGTAAGTAAAACGATTAAAATATTTATCAAGAAAGACAATTGCAATTATATTAATTTGTAAAATAATTGGTCTTTATTTTAACGAGAAGCCCGAAAAATCATCTCGAAACTTTAAACATAAAGAAAATGAGAATTCATTGTTTTTTGTTTACTTAACATTTAGATTAAAGCTACAAACAATTAGATTCCCGAATATTATTTTATACATTTTTCATAATGTTTTAATATTAATTTTTTTAATTTTTTTAATATTAGTATTTTTTTTAGAGAGAGAGGCGAAACTCCAAGTCCCGTTTCGAGTATACAAAGACTTAGCCAACAAGATGCTGAAGGATACGCGCGATTACGTAGTTTACAACGTCATCGCAGACCGAGTTATTCTCAAAGTAGTTTAGAAGTATGTGGATTGTTCTCAAAATCTCTTTGAAAATACCACTTAACAGCCTTCTTAAATAATACAACGGTAACATATTGAGTCTTTATCTTTGCAGATGTACAGTTTAGATGGCCGTCTTTCGTTGCAAAGCCTATCGGAGTACGATTCGTCCCGCAGCTGGATTGCGGAAAACGCGGTTCTTACTCCGACGCCACCTCCCCCGGAGGACGACAACGAGAACTTGTTCTACATGGGTATTTGCTTGCCGAGGAGGCTGCTCGTGATCTTTCCCGAGCCTCCTCAACCGTCGCAGCCGACTATCTTCGAGGATATCGTTAGATTCGAATTAGAGACAACCGAGATCGACGAGGAATCCAACTCGGAATATGACGTCGATAGCGAGCATTGCCGCACATGTCTCATTTGTTATCACGGCAAGAGTGGCAAGGATGCTAGCACGGAACAAGACATAAAATTGCGAAAGTAAGAAATACGATTCTTTACGAAATTACTTATACATTGAAGCTAGAAAATATAGTTATATAATTATGAAATGGCGAACACATATACATATTGCTGATTGATATATTAATTTATTAATTAGAAATTTGAGAAATTGTAGCGTTCTTGATTGATTTAAATCAAAGAATAAAATACTTTTCTGTACAAAGTTCATTATGTACAATTTTGTTATGTTGTATAGAGAAATACTTAGGCATACACAACGGCTTGCAAATCCTGTATGGTATCGTCTTAGTCGTCAATCGTTACTTAGACTGAGACAGCGGTATCCCGAAAAGTTTCAGGTATGTTTTGCTTTTCTACAATATCTCAATACGCAGAAATAATTTATACATTTTGTGTCATTCATTTTCTTTTTTTCAGGATACCTGTTTGTTTTCGGATGTAGCCGCTCGTCTAAGCACCGGTACGTACAGGATGCCGGCGCGGCGATTTCTGCAAGAATTGTTTCTAGATTCTCCATTTGACGCAGTAAGTTTTCTACAATATGTATTTCTGTTATCAATTCTCCCGTAATCGGATGATTCTTATGACGTCAGCGCTTGCGTCAGCGTTATTTTATAGTCGGTAATATGTAGTTCACGAGATTTCTGAAAATAAAAACACAGTGAAGTACAATCACCGCAAAGAATTCATCTCTAAATTTAATAGTAAAATTCTGCGCTATATTTAAGAATAAACAATTGTATCAAAGCTATATCTACATCGAAATTATACTATCAACTTGTTTTCTTATCGCGTTAAATTTACTTATAATTAACATTGTGCACTTAATTAAGTTCAAAAGCAAACATACAGCTTTGATTGTGTAATGTTATTTAAAACAATTTCCATTTTTACACATGCAGCTTTATGTCGAACCAATCAACATTCTGAAGATACCAATTGGTACAGAGGAGAATCCTCTGCAATCACCTGTTCCTAGTTCCGAGGCTAGCCCTCGACAGCAATCTACCAGTCCTGCGGAGGGCAAGATTAACGGAAGACTTACTTTAACTGAGATACAGACAGCACAATTGGCCTCGGTCGCCGAGGAATGTTCCTCGATCGGCAGCGAGTCCTGCAACATTGCGCATCCGTGTAAGAAGAAAGCTCAGGAGATCGCTCGATCGACGCAGGAACGACGCAGCGATGAGAAGATCATAGCCGAAATCCTGAAGCCAGAAGAACGGATACGCTTGTCAAAGAGTTCCGATAGATCGTTAAAAGTATCAGGTACAAACACTGCCATCAGCCTTGATTCGTAGTTTTTGAACTTTCGATTACTACTGTGTGTACATATTTTGTATTAAAATAATAATGATGTATAAAAATAAATTATTACACACACTGCCGGAAAAATCAGAGATATATTCTTATAAATGTATATATATTTCAACGTTTCCTTCTACTTTTCATATGCTTTGCGCCTATACGGAATTATTTATTAATACGATTGAAGCAATTGTTAATTTATATTTTTTGTCCGTAACAGATGGTCCACTTTTTCCGTATTATTTTTTAATGTCAGTCAATTATTTATTTTTTTTAGCGGAAAAGTGATAAGAAGCAGGATACTTCTCTTATGTAACATTTTATATATATATGTGTGTATACACTAAAGCTTATACTTTTTTAATAGTATATCTTCTAATATATTTTCTCTCTGTTTATACATATTATAATTTTTATATATTATATGTATCAAGAAGAGAGAGCAGGATAAAACACTAACGAAACAATCATAAATGTCTACATATTTTACACGCAAAACCCTTTTTTTGTTTATCACGATATTTTTGATATTTCTATCGCCATTAATGATAACTCTACATTATCGACATTGTTTGTCTGATTCTTGCTTGAATTCACTAAATTATCGTTAGTTGACGCGACAATCGTTACTACGATTTCTGTTTTTGTTTCGAATATTGCCGATCGTTCGCGTCATCGCATCACGTTCTCCATAATTATTTCCTCGAGAGGGTAAACGATACGCGAATTATCCCGATGACGATGACGGCGAACTCCAAGCAGGGTTCCAAGCGGTCGAAATGGGCCTTAGACTTTTCCCACAAGTACGTAACCTAATTTGGGGAGGCGAAGGACACGTGTCCAAAGAATTTCATTGACGTTAATGAACCATTTGCACATATTCACATATTCATTGAATATATCAAATTTAATGTTTGTTCCTTTTTTAACTAAATGCACTTTCTGCATTCTTCTGCGATTTTTCTATTCTTCCATCAAACTCTTGATCATTATTTATTTCAAACAGAAAGTGCATCTAAAGAAAAGTAGAAGTCTGCTTCTCTTAGTGCTTTATTTACATAATTTTATTTTAAATAAAAACTACGTTGTTAAAACTTCTTTGCTCTTTACAGAACAAAACAAGACAAAAGCGTGGAGATACCATCTCCACCAGGATACACGCCTACTGGTTCCCTATTTCACAATGTGGAGTACATGAGAGAAACGGATTCTAATCATTTGATAATAAAGAAATCCTGGGACTTGGCATTGGGACCTCTTAAGCAAGTGCCCATGAATCTATTCATCATGTACATGGCTGGCAGTTCAATTTCGATTTTTCCCATCATGATGGTCGGTATGCTCATCATCAGGCCGGTCAAGGCGTTATTCACACTGCAGCAAAGTAAGTATTCCAACTCGACAAAAGTAAATACTAAAATATTATATCGCAATTTAACTCGCCGTTTCCCTCGTTCAGCATTCAAAGTGATCGAAGGAACGCATGCGTTTGGACAAAAGTTCGTGTACTTCTTGGGACAATTAGTGAATATCGCGTTAGCTTTGTACAAGTGTCAATCGATGGGTCTATTGCCAACACACGCGTCCGATTGGTTAGCGTTTGTAGAACCGCAAACAAGGGTGGAATATTCTGGTGGAGGTTTCATGTATGTTTGATGCGAAGATTACGATCAGTCAATATTGTAAGTACTCGATATACGCGTTTGACGAGCGCGATCGTGAATATAGCTAAGTTATATTATGCGTGTGTCGCATTTAAATATTGTTTATTAAATAAAATAAAAGTATGGAAAAATAAGTGGCTGTCTCTTTGTACATAGTATGAATACATATATATACAAGTGTAGTGATATTTCTTGGAAGATATAGCTAAATGTTACATTTACATCGTATCAGTAATGGCATATACATTTTCTCTTCTGGTATCGGAAGTGGTTACGTTTAGGAGAAATATAGAGCTATGCTATGGCTTTTTCTTATTTTCTTCTAGAAACTGGAGTACTCGTTGATATATTTTTGCCGGCTCATCCACGCGCGGGACCTACATAGCATAAAAACAAATCAGCTTCGAGAAATGACAAAGTATATACTTATCGTATTAAAAATTTTATATTACACACACATGAAAAAGAAAGTAGTGAGCAATTTGTAATTTTATTGCACTTAAATTGACCAATCAATTATAAGAATTGCTTTTTATCTTATCAAATATATAACATACCTCATAGTTTTGCGCTATATATATACCGGCGTACACTCCAATACTTAGACTAATCTGCAAGTCATTATTATGTATTTTTAAAACTATAAGAATCATCATATATATACGTAGCTGTTTACATACCAGAAATCGGAGCATATTGACTTTTCAAAACAGATTTAACCTAATCTTTCACTAGAATGTCTCTAGTTATGCTCTTCTGTGCCGTTTGACATCCAGATAAAAGTATATGTATATTCTGATCATCAAGATATAGGATGGACTGCTAATGGCAGTGGAAGGGGAGTCGCACGAGTAGAGTGAGAAGCAGATAATATGAGGTCACTTCCGTCTCTTTCTAATAAAACCTGATTGGTTGGCACAAAATCAACAGTACTGCTGATCCAATCAGGCTTTATTAGAAAGAGACGAAATGTGACCTCATATTATCTGCCTCTCACTCTGCTCGTGCGGCTCCCCTTCCACTGCCATCAGCAGTCCATTCTATATGTCGATGATTCTGATACATCCAAATATTAGAACATGAAACATATGCAAATGTGATAAGTAATGAAACAAATTTAGCAGCTAGTTAGAATTTGTTGGTTATTTTGTGACTGAAAATACGCAGTTTGTGTAACTAGATCTAGTTTTTTTCTGAATAAATGTTACTGATTATGTTTAACCAGAAGAGGCGCGTGCAATTCAAATTTTTTTTAGAGATCCTCTAATCTAACTAATCCTCTCTTTTAATCTCATTTTTTAAAGATCTCTAATATTTCTTAAATTAAGAATATTTCGTAATATTTCAATATTTGTTATTAACAACGAACGGAAGATTAAATAAACGAATAAACCGAAAAGAAAAAGAAATAACATGTATCAATTCTTTCAATAAATTTAATAATTTACTTATTTAAATATGAAAAATTGTTATATAAAATTATAAATAGTCATGTTACTCAAATTATATATATAACAACGGGTTTTATTATGCACACATATTTTGCTCTCAAAATATACGTTCAGAATACAGTTGTATAGAGAGTGATAACATAATGATATTATAAAGAGACAGAAGAGAGAATCCTTATAATTTACGCTAATAAATTCATAAAATTTTCACACATAAAGAGATTATATATATGTAGGATATATGTGCATCTACTTCTTATATATAAAAAAAAATTATTCTTTCTCACAAGAGATTTCGTTAAAAGGTATTAAAGGTCAATATCTTTTAATAAACTATGAAAGTAAGATGTTTATCTTCTAAAAACTTTTGCAGTAAAGTGACTTATTACTTACACTAGTAATAAGTAGACAGAAATTCTAAATTCTTGCGGCATTTAAAAAAAAAAGCGTTCTAACCAACTTATTATGAATAGTATAGTAGGATAATACTAAAATTCAAAGTTATGTAGAGTTGGGAATAAACGAGTACTTATTTGGCATTATATGCCTAAAAAAAATCGTGGACTCGTAGGGACTGCAACTATATATGCAAATATAATATAATATAATATATACACACGTTTGATTTAATAATAACAATCCTCGTCATCTTCATCCATAGCGAAGTCACTACCAACTCCGGAATCTGGTATGTAGAGAGGGCTGCAAAGTAAAATGGATAAAATACATTAAGCGTACAGAGTTAAAAAAGAAAATAATCTCTTTTTTTTTAGAAGAGCATACTTACTTTATCGCTCTGCAGGTGAAAACTACAATACGCTTTAACTTTTTATTGTGGAACAAGTAATTAAAGGACCACAGGCATCCATCTTCCCCAAATGGATCTGATGCAAAATCCGGATTATAACTGCAAATATATTCTTTCATTATGTTTTTAATTAATTTACATGTTCTATATAATTAATCTTATATATGCTAATGTAATCTTGTATTACAGATCACAATTTTATATAATGCCTCACAAGAATGCATATATTTCATTTTGTTTATACTGCAGCAAAACAATCATCGAATGTTTACCTGTAGATATCACATTCCTTCAATGATATCTCTTCGTCAATGGCCGCCCACAGAGCATCATGCAAATCGCGATAATGATCATTCGCAGCGGCGTTGAGATGGCTTTGTACCGCGTTCTTTACATATTGTAAATTCGGTTCTTTGCTAAACTCTTCGCTCTTGGCATCTGAGAAATCGTAGTCCTGATTAAAAGTTGAATTTAACGTAGTAGTCAAGTAAAACAATGTTTTTCTATTGATAGTATCGCACAACGCAGTCGCTCCCTCTTCGTCGCCAGAGACACTATGACTGTTAAAAAAAGAACATTGTATTAATAGGAGACTGTCAATCTATGACTAAATGTACACAGTGGTTTTATCGAAAAGTAAACGTAATCAATGTGAGACAGTTAGCATTGATCAAACAGAACTTTCTATAATTGGAAATTTGACAGATAGATATCTTGAAAATACCTCAAGTATCCCTGAGCTGGAGAGGTTCCTAAAAACGTCTGCGGCGGTGATAAAGCTTGCAAATCGTGCGGCGTAACTCCCTCTTCTGAGTTGAATCGTTTGTACATCTGTTTATCATTGCCTGCCATTTTGCAAGAGTAACTCTCGATCCTACAATGATAAAAATACATGTCAATATTATCAAAATTGATTCGAGATAAGAATCTTGCATCATTTATCTTACCTTGCAATTATCTTGCTATCTCCAGTCTCGATGGACAAGGCACTGTTTAAAGCTTCGAAACATGTATTCTCCAGCAATTTCATGATGACAATAACCGCGATAGCTCTGATTATGCAAACAACTGAGCCCCGAGCTGGAAATTGTTGTATTTAGTCTCCTTGATCAGGTCACCTGTCTTACAATGTTGACATTTCTGTGATCTGAAGAGCCCTTGTCGTTGCTCGCTATCCAAGCGAATCTTAATCGGTTTTCTCAGATTTTCTTACAGCCAAGCCGTTCAGTATAAGCGAAATGTCAGAAAGCTTCTTCGACTTCGAAGACTTATCAAGTGGTTGGGCATCTCTTTTATGTATATGAAGATTCCTTTCCTTTTCGAGTGTACGAGATTAATCGTCGACGTAGAGATCTTCCCGCCTTGTTTACTGTACTTGCACATTACAGATAGCTAATCAAGGATTTGGGGGAAGGTGATAGAGTTCTAGAACGGACTCTTTAAACGCGAAATAAGAGCTCCCACAGGATCGCGAGCTAGTCCTTGCCTTCGTACGCTTTGCGCGCTACGCGATAGAGAGAGACGGATATACGAAGACGAAACGAGAGCGAGCGAGATCGAAACAAACGACGCGATCAAACTCACGGAGAGACAAAGACGCTCGCCTCTTTCTCGGACTCCCTACGATTCGAATTATCGTCTCTCCGGCGAGGGTCGCACAAAACACGCACACAGCTACGTGAAAGAACGATTTCGCGATTTCACGGTGTTCCGAGAGACATAAAATTCTCAGCGGGAGTAGTCGCTTCGCCTATAGAGAAAAGGAGCGAGAGACCTTTATGCGTAGCGTCCGCTACTGACGAAAACAATCCATAATTAGGGACATTGTTGTCACTGTGACGTAGTATCACGGTCACTGTCGAGATCCCAATTTCAAGTTATACTTGAAGTTTCGTTAAATTCGTCCCGCACTCGACCTTACTCGCGCGCGAGCTCGACCAGTTTACCAACTAATTGCGACGCGATGTCAGACAGTCAGACTGACGCGTTTACTGCGCACGTACACGCAACATATATATATGATTCACACATGTATACGCGACAGCTGTGTGCGTGTATACATATATGTGACAGAAATAGCATCGCAGAAGCGCAAGACCCTATCGCTATTTCTCTCTCTCTCTCTCTCTCTCTCTCTCTCTCTCTCTCACTCGCGCTCGCTCGCGCACGATGAGAAACGCGCAGTAAGCGAAATGTCAGAAAGCTTCTTCGACTTCGAAGACTTATCAAGTGGTTGGGCATCTCTTTTATGTATATGAAGATTCCTTTCCTTTTCGAGTGTACGAGATTAATCGTCGACGTAGAGATCTTCCCGCCTTGTTTACTGTACTTGCACATTACAGATAGCTAATCAAGGATTTGGGGGAAGGTGATAGAGTTCTAGAACGGACTCTTTAAACGCGAAATAAGAGCTCCCACAGGATCGCGAGCTAGTCCTTGCCTTCGTACGCTTTGCGCGCTACGCGATAGAGAGAGACGGATATACGAAGACGAAACGAGAGCGAGCGAGATCGAAACAAACGACGCGATCAAACTCACGGAGAGACAAAGACGCTCGCCTCTTTCTCGGACTCCCTACGATTCGAATTATCGTCTCTCCGGCGAGGGTCGCACAAAACACGCACACAGCTACGTGAAAGAACGATTTCGCGATTTCACGGTGTTCCGAGAGACATAAAATTCTCAGCGGGAGTAGTCGCTTCGCCTATAGAGAAAAGGAGCGAGAGACCTTTATGCGTAGCGTCCGCTACTGACGAAAACAATCCATAATTAGGGACATTGTTGTCACTGTGACGTAGTATCACGGTCACTGTCGAGATCCCAATTTCAAGTTATACTTGAAGTTTCGTTAAATTCGTCCCGCACTCGACCTTACTCGCGCGCGAGCTCGACCAGTTTACCAACTAATTGCGACGCGATGTCAGACAGTCAGACTGACGCGTTTACTGCGCACGTACACGCAACATATATATATGATTCACACATGTATACGCGACAGCTGTGTGCGTGTATACATATATGTGACAGAAATAGCATCGCAGAAGCGCAAGACCCTATCGCTATTTCTCTCTCTCTCTCTCTCTCTCTCTCTCTCTCTCTCGCTCGCTCGCGTACGATGAGAAACGTGCAGCCAATCGCGTTACGTCAGTGCACGCATGTGTGCGTGACGCGTCTCGCACCGCGAGCGCGCGTACGCATTTATGTGCGAGGCCGTGACCAGTGTTTTTCTCATCTGAAAAGAGAAATATTTCACGTCTCGGCTCACGCATTTAAAATAAGACAACTGTATATTCAGATTTTGTATGGAAAAAACACAAACAAAATCACGATGAAAAGCGTAATTGGAATAAATTTCTTGAACCAAGGACACTTCTTTATTCCTATATTTCTCTATCAAATTTCGTAGAATTTTACAAATTAATAGAGCGCCATGATATCATATATATATACATAAATTTGATATAGCTTGAAGATTTAGAAAGAGGAAAAAGAGACAGAGCGTGGATATAAAAGAATAATTAAACGAATAATGAATAACTTGATAACAATTCGTGATATTTTTTCAATGTTGCTTCCTCATTGTCAGATTATTTTGAAACATTTTTACGTATACGTATATCATATGTGTATATGTGTAAATACTTTGTATTATAACGTTGTGTAGGTATGTTTAATTCAACTGCGGCGCGCGCGTCAGGCGTCAGGCTGTGTTTTGGCATAGCTAGACTAACCTGTCTCCTGTCTCGGCACAGGATGGTGAGGGAAATGATAAAAGTTTGTTGTTAAAATGTCTAAACGGAATAGCGACTATGTGGTTACGGAGCATCGCGATTTACAGGTGAGTCGAGAAAACGACAATCCTATGTTAGAAAATAATAATAGAACGCTTTCTTTTTTTATTATCGCGAGGAAAAAAGAAAATGCGAGTGTTTATGTGTTGATTTCCTTTTTTGTTACACTTAGGCGAACAGCATGGCTGTGGACGCGACCGGCAACTACGTTTTGTTAGCCGGGTAAGTAACCGGTATCGCACTTTCAAAATTAGTGCGATAAATTATCTGTTTCATGCCTCAAATTACTGTACCATTAGAGAAACTAATTCCTCGAACTGTAGTAGATTTGCATTGCAAATATTTAACGCAATAAAAATTATCTACATTTTTCATGACGAGATTATTTTATATTGTCTCCTTTAGACGCAGATATTTGGCAGTAAAACATTTGGATGAGGATGTGAATGCGGTGAAAAAGTTCCAGCGACAGAGCAAATATGAGGTTGGCTCTGCTGAATGGAACCCATCTGATCTAAATTGTCATTTGTGCGCAATTTCTGTAAGATTTTATGTATCTCTTTTATATGTAGTATATCGCCAACAAAAGCTATATTATTTGAGAGATATGGAAAAGATATGTATATTATCCTATTTTATTTTAAACTATTTTTTTATTTTAGAGCAATACACGAATTGAGATATTGACTTTTAATGGAGCAGGAGGATATGAATTGCAAACCATGCAGAGCCTGAAAGCTCACACTCGTGTGGTTAGCGATCTAAACTGGCATCCCAAAGAACCAGATATCATTGCCTCTTGCAGTATTGACACATTTATACATATCTGGGACATACGGGATCAGAGAAAGCCATGTTTGTCTCTGTCTGCAGTTGGTAAGATGATATATTAAAGCATAATTGGATGATTCTTTCTTGAATAACAAATAAACATTTTTGTATTTTCCCTATAGTGGGATCATCCCAAGTACGTTGGAATCCACTATTATCGTATACTTTAGCCACAGCACACGATGGAGATGTTAAGATATGGGATCAGCGAAAAGCAACAAGTCCTGTGCAATATATAACAGCCCATTTGACCAAAGTATACAACTTTGTTACATTTATAATTATGTATTATATTTATATCTCGAATAATTTTTGTGAGAAAGTCAAATCAAAATCAAAGTGATTTTAGATACACGGTTTAGATTGGTGTCCCTTTCAACAAAATCAATTGGCAACATCGAGTCAAGATTGCACCGTCAAGATCTTCGACATTGCCAATCCGCGCAGGGCCGAGAATATCTTGACAACGAATTCTCCTGTGTGGAGAGCAAGATATACGGTAAGAATACATGTCGAACGCAGACTGTTTATTATAACTATTCTACATATATTACATACTCCAAATACATCTATACGATACTCGTGATCATTTGATGAATTTTTATAGCCTTTCGGGGAAGGTTTAGTGACAATAGTGGTACCACAGCTGCGTCGTGGAGAAAACAGTCTTTTGCTATGGAACACGTCGAATCTCAGTGCACCAATTTACACATTTGTAGGCCACACAGATGTTGTGCTCGAATTTCAATGGCGACATCTGAAATTAGGTATTATAATTGAGATGTGTACTAAAAATTATTCATAAAAATTATAAAAGCATAAAATATGTACATTATTACAACTCTTCCTATTTGCTTTTAGAAAACAGCGAATTCGAACTCGTTACATGGTCCAAGGATCAGTGTCTAAGGATTTTTAAAATTAATCCCTTTATAAAGAAAGTAGGAACATATCCTCTTTATACAGTTTTGTGAATTATAAAGATTGTAGATAATAATAATGTTTCTCTTGCTATTTTCAGTTATGCAGTAATGGTATTGACGATGGTCTGTCAGTTTACAGCCAGTATTCTGAGGAAAACAATCTAAGTATGTATGTCGAATTATCAAGATATCGTGATATTTTTACGATAAAATTTTAACGCAACGGATATTTTTATAGGAACTCTGCAATCCGTTCAAGAATTGCAACTTAATGCTTCCCAGAGTGAACCTGAGATAAATTACATAACAAATAAAGTGAACGAGCCTGTGGCACAATCTGAAACGATCAATTTTACAGACAATTCTAAGAAAATCTCGTCTCCCACTCAACCAAAGAGTTTGCAGCAGGAGTTTTCCCTAATAAATATGAATATACCAAATATAGAGGTAACTCGGAAGATTATTTTACACAAGATACAAATTGATGAAGCGACTAACGCGACTTGACATTTCGTTCCAGGTAAATGCAATGGACGCGACGGAGAGGAGTTGTACCATAACCGCTTGTACAAAGAATTACAATGTAATATTAAAAGTAAATTTTCCTGTGAATTATCCATGCAGCGCGCAGCCTACCTTTCAATTTTGTCCCGGCACGTCGATCGACAATACGATGATGACCAAACTGCTGAAAGTTCTCACGCAAACCGCTCAGCATCGTGTCAGGAAGAACAGATCGTGCTTGGAACCATGTCTTCGGCAGCTAATTACAACTTTAGAACAAGTAAGCAAGTTTTGTACTTTTTATCGAATTAACATAGTATAACCGAATAAAAATATTGATCTTTATCATTGTGCTTGCGTGCAGATGTGTAAGAAAGACGAAGATGAGGGCGGTCACTTGGCGTATCACATGCAGGATAACAGCAACTTTCTGAACTCGTCCAATATCTGTGCGAATTATCACGATTCTTATATACCGTTTCCTAGAACGTCTGGCGCCAAGTTTTCCTGCGTAGGTACGTATATCGCTCGATATCGTCTCTCAATGTTTAACTTGGCGCGCTTTTCCGATTCTGAACAGGTATCCTCGTTTGTTTCGGTCGTCCCTCCTACACGAGAAAATCGTTGTTGAAACCGGGAGATGCAACGCCCAGGGCATTGTCCGCTTTGGACAATAGCATCGGTAATAGCGAATCTTTTATGCATATGTACCGAAGTACTTACGTGCCAACCAACGACAATATGTCTATCAGCTCGTATTACTTCCAAGATCGGGTAAGATATATATATATATACATCGTTTATTTCTATTATATTTATGTAATTACAATTTTAACATTAGCAGAAAGATCTCCGACGTGGATTGCATGGAACAGGTAGAATGCACGATCGATCGTACTTCAAGAATTATCACCCGATGGTTATGATATATGACATATCGTCGTTATTCTTTGTTAATAAGGAACTCGCCGAGAAATATACGTGAGTGCGATGATTATACATAACATTCGAGTCGTGACATATTTTAAAAATCTATAAAAATATTTTATTCCTCTCTTTATAGAATCAATACTGCTGACATTCCCGCCATGTGTCAGTATAACGCGAACGTGGCTGCTACATTGGAACGGTCTGATTTAGTTCAAACTTGGTGTTTAGCTGGTCTGATCATTCCGCAGCCACCTTCCAATACCGAGCATAACTCTTGCCAATCGAGCCAATCATCTGATATTGACGCTCCATGGCCTTTACATCCTTGGGGTCAACATTTGATTCATTCTCTGTAAGCAAGTTGTTAAGTATTTCTGTGATTTTTCATTATTATATGTGTGTTAAAATTATATGCATATATATAAACTGCGTCCATAAGAAAAAAAATATATTAAATCTATATAATAAATTGAATAATACATATATTTTTATAGATTAATATTTTCTTTTAATTAAGACAGATATAAAAGTCGAAAAACAAAGATTTTAAAAATATTTACTTAAAAGCACTTTAATTACATTACTGCATGTGTGTGTGTGCTCTTTTTGTAGAATTGTAATTTTAATTGTCAATCGATTAACTATGATATATTAATTATTCTGTGTTTCTGTTCAGAATACAACATTATGCTAATCAGTCTGATATTCAAATGGCCGGTATGCTGAGTTGCGCACTTAGCTACCGATCGGAGAACACACATCCTGCACAAACCAGGCTGACTAGCAAATCCGTGAACGTCAGTGTAAGTATGTAATTCGTGCGAAAGAGCAAAAAGTGTGCCGTGTTGAAAACTTTTCCTAATGTGGAGCAGCACCAATACCCTGTAAAGTTAATGGGAAAAACTGTGTATATGTTCAACAGTCACACACACACATCTTTGTCTTCTATTCAGTATATGCGTTTTCCATATATTTAATAAGGAGGGAGACACCTTTTTATGCACAGCACGTGTCTCTTTCTTCCGATGCATGAGGGAATATATGATGTTTTATGTCATTTGTATTAATGTTTGATACACAAAAATACAACGGTACAGTATACATATCTGATAATAAATAATATTAATGGATAAGGATATATTGAAAGGATAATTCAGATCATTAGTTAGTGTAATTAGTGTTTACAAGAGAATCTTAGGAAGTACGTGCAATAAATAAAATTTCAATTTGAAGTTTTGCATTATTATACATGTAATAAATATAAATTATACTGTACCGACGTATATTTTTTATGTCATCTATAATTATACAAATATCATAGCTAACGATATAATATGTTACGTTTTGTTATAGAGGCTTTCCACAGGAAAATGGTGGTTAAAGGTAAGATCTCTGAATTCTGTTAATAAAATGAAGTGTTCTGGTTCTTAGGATTCTATTATATGATCAATATTTTACATTCACCTCTGAGCATCGGACTGGAAAGTGTCACTATGCCACATGCAGATTTGCTCATTGCGCCTGATTAAAATCTGGATGCATACAATCTTTACACTTGTATAGGTGTGATTGATGAAGAAAAAAAAAAAACAAATTAACACGCGTATCGCTTGTAGCAAATCGCAGTTGGTGGTTAAACAATGTGTGCTGTTTGCTATGATTAATTATGCATATATTTCATATAGATAAACAATCTGTGAGAGCTCACACATACATTATTCATTAATGATAATTCATTAATGATTATCGTATAAATATTAATTAACGTTAATATAGATTATCTACACATAAATTGCGAACCTGTTTTATTCGATTATTCTTTATAGCCTGGCGGTTCGCCTTATCATACGATCCATCTAGCAGATACCACAATGGAGGGGTGGAATTTTCAAAATCTTCAGAAACAACATCGGTCTAACTCGTGGTCGGAGTCGCTCGACGATTTGAAAGTCATTCAAGACACGTTTGGGGATTCAGCGAAAAATATTAAGTAGGTTGTATAAAGACAGATGGTACAAATTAAGTCTTTTAGACTTTAATATTTTGCGTTTATATATGTTTCAGTTTTTAATATATCCAAATATATCTTGTTAGCAGGTTGTTCGATGAGAAATATACGGCACTGTACGACAGTTACAAGAAATCATATGCTGAAGCATTGCACAGATGGGAATTATTGGATGGCCGGGCACAGGTATTGAAACATTTAAGCGCGTCCCCGTTTGATGTGCAAAAGGGCGTCGAGTTGCAAAACGAGTGTCGTCTCTGCAGTAAGATCAGTCAAGGTCCGCAATGCGCGAACTGCAAGGGACTGAGCTTTCAATGTATCGTGTGTCACGTTACAGTCAGAGGTTCGTACCAGTTCTAACAAGTAATATAATTGTAATTTAAAATTAAATTAAAGCTTCAATTTTCTTCTAAAAATCTAGGTGCGAGTAATTTCTGCATGTTTTGCGGCCATGGTGGACATATTGAGCATTTAGCTGCGTGGTTTACTAAAGAGACGGTATGCCCCACGGGCTGCGGTTGTCATTGCCTGCAGGAAAACTCAATGCTATTTAAAATATAGGTAATGTAGATGAAATTGTACATAATCATGATCTGTGATAGTTATTGTTATGAAAAAAAGAATACATTTTCTTTTGTTCTACATGTTGTATCAACATAATTTTTTTCGAAAATTACTTAAGAAATAATTCATGATCAAGGATGAAAATATGAAAGAAATAGTAAAAAAGGTGATACGATTAAGTAAAAACCTAAATAATTCTTGATCACAATTAAATATTAACAAATTATCGATTCGTTATCATACAAGATTGTTACACAGGAACAAGCTAATCAATCAAATACTCTATAAAATTGATTATGTTGTTAATTCCAATTTTATAAAAAATCAGTTGTATATTTATAACAAGAACAATTTATTATACGATGATTTATTGTAAGTTTTCTCGCAAGTACTAGTATCGTAAGTACTAGTAATAGTAAGTACTAATATCGATAATGATCAGGTTTGTAAGGTCCTTCTACAGACACGTCTAGATATTTGGCTTGTTCTGGCGTCAGAGTCGTCAACTTTACGCCCAGATGATTCAAATGTAACGCCGCAACCTCCTCGTCCAGTTTCTTCGGCAACATGTGCACGCCGATCGAATATTGGTTCGATTTTGTCCAGAGTTCGATCTGTGCGAGCACTTGATTTGTGAATGAGTTGCTCATGACGAAACTCGGGTGGCCCATCGCGCATCCTAAATTCACCAAACGACCCTCCGCGAGTAGTATAATATGCCTAAAATATGAGTGATATGATTAAATTCATTATTGTAAGGTAAAATTCGTTCATGTTCGATTTCGCAATCTTACACATACATACCTGCCGTTCTCCAATCGGTATCTATCCACTTGTGGTTTTATATTGATCTTTTCTGCAGCGTTCTTCTCTAGCCACGTGACGTCGATCTCGCAATCGAAGTGTCCTATGTTGCAGACGATAGCGTCATTCGGCATATTCATAAAATGTCGACCCACCACGATATCCTTACATCCTGTAGTGGTCACGTATATCTGGCCTTTTGTAGATGCCTCGTCCATTGTCGTCACCTGAGAATTACGACAACGAGAATGTGACAATAATATTTGATCTTTCTATTTTTATACTTTATTTAATTTTACTGAAACTTATTAATTTCTCTAGAAACTTATTAATCTCACAATTTGTGACATAGGGACACTTAATCAATGATCGAAATGAGAATTTGATAAAATTCTACGATCAGTCGAATTTCTTTTACCTCATATCCTTCCATAGCTGCTTGAAGTGCATTGATTGGATCGATTTCTGTGATAATAACGCGACCTCCGAAAGCTCTGAGACTCTGCGCACATCCTTTGCCGACATCTCCGTATCCCGCCACCACGCATACTTTGCCGGCGATCATGACGTCGGTCGCTCTTTTGATGCCGTCTATCAATGATTCTCTACATCCATACAGGTTGTCGAATTTGCTCTATTAAAAATGTAAGATCTAATTAGTAATAGAGTTAAATCTGTTGTGTTATTACTTGTATATTACTTATCTTAATCATCTTTATTAATTCAGTAGAATTTTAGTCGATTTTTGAAAAATATCTTCCGGTGTAATAATGAAAAACCTAATGTAAGTGTCTAATTTCTCACATATTGCATCAGAATTTCTTCATATGAAAACCTACTCGCAATTCGCTTATCATTCTCTTATCTATTTCGTCATTATTCTGTCGTATTATACTACGCACAATCATATTTATTATCTCAATTGACGCGAATGTGGTGACTATTTGAATCTAATCGCTTCTATATTGATAGAGAGTTAATCATTCACAAACTTGCTTATTCATAATCTTGCACAAACCTTCGTAACAGAGTCATTGACATTAATGGCCGGCACTTTGAGTATACCCTCCTTCATCATGCGGTAAAGATTATGCACTCCGGTGGTGGTCTCCTCGGATAAGCCACGACATTCCTCCAGATACTGTGGGTACTTGCTATGCACGAGGTTGGTCAGATCGCCACCGTCATCGAGAATCAAATTGAGTGGCTTACCGTCCCGAAAGACGAGAGTCTGCTCTATGCACCAGATGTATTCTTCGTCGGTTTCGCCTTTCCAGGCGTACACTGGCACCCCGGTTTTCGCTATGGCCGCTGCCGCATGATCCTGGGTGCTGAATATATTGCAGGACGACCATTGCACCTGCGATATAAGAAAGGTTTTATTGAAGTTTCGTTTCCAAATATTAGATTCTTAAGCAACTGTGTTTCTAAACATGTAATCGATTTTTATAGGAAAATGTATTTAATTTCTTCTTTGTATAAATATAAGCTATGACTTATTCTCTTGTGATGATAAGTTTAGAAAGATATAAATAATCGTAACATTATTGAAGCCTTTTGTAAATATTCTCTAAGTTAACAGAAATGCACAAAAGACTTTTTGAAATGCAAAAAGATTTTTCTTATTCTAATATCTATTTAGCATCGTATCCACTTTGCTATCAAATGACTCAAGGAAAAGGTTATCTGTTCTATTATCTATTCTGTTCAGATTCTATAAAAGAAAAATCACAGTCATCTCGTCAGTAACATCATATCTAGCTTTATCTGCTCTTTAAAAATATAAAAATCATTTTAATAATATAAACAATCACTGGAAATTTCACTGTTAATTATGATTAAATATTATGTCAAAAACTATTATGTAAATTAATTCGTTACAATGTTTCTTTAGAATAAAAGTTTTCTCAGTGCTCACCTCTGCACCGAGTTCTACTAAAGTCTCAATCAGCACCGCGGTTTGTACGGTCATGTGAAGACAGCCGGCGATCCGTGCACCCTTCAGCACCTTTGATGGTCCATATTTTTTCCTGATCGCCATGAGTCCCGGCATCTCGTTCTCTGCCAGGGTTATCTCCTTGCGACCCCATTCCGCCAAAGTGAGGTCGGCTGTCGATAATCGAAAGATTTATTTCAGACAAGCCGGGAAATTTGTCGATAAAATATTAGAATAGAAGAGAAGAGTTGCCATATATAATTATATACGACATGTAGTCATATATAATTATATCATAATTCATGATGGGTAATCATATGCGTGTACAGAAAAATTATTAGAAAACAGAATCTTTAAAAATAGCATCTTAAAATATAAATAGCAGTGCACATAAAAAGAATTTGACAAATTATTTTACTATTAATTACATATTACTATCAATAAACTTATCTCATTATTATTTTATATAATTATATTAAAATTATCGTACTACTCTATATATAAAAATTTTCGGAGGCATCGACAAAAATGCTGGGTATAAAACGCTCCAATTAGTAAGCCGAAGGTTCAATTGGATATTTTCGCGGAAACTTTATAAATCATTCTCTACATGTGGCAAATCACGCAACGATACGCATCGAACGCGACATCTCGTTCGCTGTCCAGGAAAGACAAGTACTTCGCGTTGTTTCGCGACGAGTGCGAGCACATGTTCGTTCCGTGTTCGCGTTATCCTTGAAATCTTCGCGTCGTTCGTTCATTCATTTCGCTTACCGACTTTGTACGCAGGCTTGTTGGACATAGTGCTTCGGTGATGTACGTTCGGTTCGAGTACTTCGCCGACGAGTGCGAGCACATGTTCGTTCCGTGTTCGCGTTATCCTTGAAATCTTCGCGTCGTTCGTTCATTCATTTCGCTTATTTCGCTTACC